ACTGGAATTGCTCTTGCGCCCTTAACCAGAGTGATGAATTAGCCGAGAAGGAAAATTTAAGCTGACTCGTCCTAGACTTAAAAATTGAGTAATGGAGTATTTGAGGCAATAGTTCTACCATCTGTGACCCGGAAAAATTCCCCGATCGGAACATTCAAGGTCATATGGTGACGATGTCTCACAATCATGTTGTTTCTAAAATACAACACGTTCACTCCATTGTGCGCGGGCGAAGGAAGTCGGAAACAGTCATTGCTATTTGCTGTGTCTCTCTGAGCGTTCTGACCTATATTATGGCTTGTTTGGGGCTATGCAAAAGTTTCTGGTTCTTCCAGACTTGGACCCAAAGTGCACATGGAGTGAACAAGGGCACTCGTTGTTTCTTGAAACAAATATTATCGAAAGGGGTTTCGATAAAAGGTCTTTTGAAAAAACTTACAGGGTCATTCGTCAGTATTTCCGGTCCAGCCTTCACTCAAAGGGGACACGGATTGCAATTACAGCGATAGGCGAATGAAATTCGAATAATTTAAACTATGCGTTAACATAAATGCTGGGAGCATAGTCGTTTCTGCTCCATTGTGAGATTCGCAAATTGGATAATTAAAGTTACTGGAAAGTAAAACAGCTAATTTTATAGAGTTAAATGGTCGCGCCGATGGAGCAGTAAGTAGCGGGGCAGAAGGAATGAGCAGACTAGTACAGTTGTAAAATTTTGAATTGTGCATCAGTTTATTGGCGATGTCAAATGAAATGAAAAGAGAAAAAATACAAAAAGAGCAGATGGTGAAAAAAACTCCCCTGACGATTTACAAAAACGTTATATGATACGTGAGACCAAAACATCGAAAAACTAATTTACTGGAAAGTTAAATAAACGGTTTTTATAATAAACTTGCCATGTAGCAGGGCGTACCTCTACTAGTATGCGGCTCACAACTGCTTAATGAATATTTTCCTGAAAAATGACGTGAATTAACAACAAAGCCCGGCAACCAAGTGAGTTTCTAAGGCATAACCAAAGCGCGCGAATTTGGAGGACACACTTGATATATTTCTTGTCAACATTAATTTTAAGAGCAGACCAGGGAATGAGCTTGTTTTCTAGGGTAGAGTGGGCACACTAATTCAGTAATATTCAACGGGACAGGCTTAGGAAGTGTACAGTTCATCATTGTTCCCTACGCGCTATCCACACTTTTATTAGGAGTGATTTGAACTGACAACAAAGTGCGCGCAATAGCGCTGAGGTTTGTTTCCGACTAAACGTCTTCTGAATCGCTTTATCGTTCATTAGGGTCTGGGTTCTAGAAACAGACGAATCCACTGGAAGATTGAGTTAGTTGGGAACTTGGGCGCATTTAAAGCAGACACATTCGCTCAGAAGGACGTTGGGAATAAGGATAAATCTGCCAAAGTTTTTTCAAATTCGCTTACATGTTATGCTCCCGGAGTCGTTGAGTGGCTTATACAATAACTCATCCCTTCTCCTTGTTTCACAAACATAGCCTCCCGAGCAGGCAGCCGACAAAGCAGTGTCTCCCAACCGGATCGACGAAGTTCCCCTGGACGTCATGCTGCAG